CCCCCCCCCGCGTGCGTGTATGTGAGTGTTTTTTTTTTTTTTTTAGACAGGGTTTCTCTGTGTATCCCTGGCTGTCTTCCAACTCAAATATCCACCTGCCTCTGCGTCCTGAGTGCTGGGATTAAAGGTGTGAACCACCGCCTGGGTACAACATTGTTCTAAAATGATGATTGCTACTGGAGATGCTTAATGAGCATTTTCTGACTAAAAAGTATATTGTAAGACTTTTAAGACATTTGATTTATAAAAGTTGAACATTAAGATGGTGTGAAAAATGGCAGACTTTGGAAGTACATACTTCAAATTTTTATCTTGCCCTGGACTAGAGACATGTGGTACAATACTGTGCAATGGTGCTGAACACGGGCAGCAAGCTACAGCTCACAATCACCCACAGGATTACAAGGGTAAAGAAATGACAGTGTACTATGTTGTTCAGTGGGTTACATAAACACTACACATATTTGACTTACTATAGTTTCAACTTATAATGTATTTATAGGGGTTTAGCCCCTCATCAGTTAAAGAGCATCTGTATTAAAGAGCATTGTAAACCAAAGTACAATTTCTCATTTCAGTTATATTTTAGATCAGTGGTTTTCAACCTGTGGGTTGGGCATTATGATTTCTAACTGTAGCAAAATTAGTTATGAGGTAGCAACAAAATAATTCCATGGTCGGGGGTCACCACAATTTGAAGAACTACATTAAAGGGTTGCAGCATTAGGAAGGTTGAGAACCATGGCTCTAGACTGAGAAAACTGGTATGTGATTTACAAGAAAAATTATATCAAAATCTTCTAACTACCACTTACCATTTATTCTCTATTTTGCTGCTTAGGTTACCAGGGTAAGAAAATAGGAGCGATTGTATTAAAATTACACCAAAAGTAAAAAGTTCCCAATTACTGAAAACATGGTAATTCCACAGGTCTCTAAACCTTAAAATAGTCCTATAAGCTAAGAGTCAGAAATACTAGTTTCATAAAAAAATAAAAATAAAAAAATGATGAGACGAAGGCTCAGAGGAGACCCAACTACAATTGCAGCAACCGTTCCAGCTGGGAGCTCTTACAAGTTAATGATTCATATCCAGTCAACCCTCACCATGGCTCACAGAATGTGACTAACTTTGCTCTAGTTTTTATGGGACGAGAACTATTTGCTTAACAGAAGAGGACATTATCTGTATCACTGTTACTAAAGTTATATGACACCTGAAACATATTTCCCAACTATGACTTTCTCAAAGATTGTATACCAACTAACCTTTATATATCTTGATGGAATTGTGCAGACTTCCTTAAAACTCAGTTATGTTTTACTCTAGGGAACAGTATTTCTCCCCCTCCCATGCACTTTAGTAAATACCCAATTAGTAACTCTCTGGGAAGAGTTAGTCTGACTGAAAAACACAAGTACTGAAAAATATGAATGAATAAGCAGGCTACACAGCATATATATGACATCACAAGGTCTCCAGTCATAAAGGCACTTGTCCTTTGATTTCAGCTTTCTATAGTTATCAAAGACAAAGATGTCATTAGGAATATCTCTGTCCTGGACAAGTAGAAAAAACTTAAGAGAAATTTATAGCACCCCCTAAGCATTCATCAGCATATAAATTAAGGGCTACCCTGCATTTAAAACATTTGGCATTTGAACCACCATATAATTTAAAGTAGCATCTCTATTCAAATCGTCTACCAACCTTGACTTAAGGGGTATCTTCTTGATAACCTCACTATGACCATAAAACCAGTAAACTGACATTAAATCAAAGTACTAGAGAAATAACAGATAACTGCTAGAAAGGGAGGTATCTCTATAATATATGACTTAGTTATATTTAACCATATCTGTACATAGCTTTCCTTTAAAGGTGACTGTGAACCTATTTGTGCTGCAGGCCCCAAAGCCCCTCCAGCAGACACCAAGCATACTTACTTTTCTTTTACTTCTAAAGCTTCTCCTTCCTTGTCTTTATCTTCATCAGACTTCTCTCCTTTAAGCATTGGTTGAGAAATGATATCATCCGTGAAAGAACTGAAGTAAGACTTAATAAATTGTGGCGATGGCATCAGAGGTTCACGGTTCTAAAATTCAACCATGTTTAAGCTTCTTTTTAAAATGAGAAAACACTAATCAAAGAAGCAAGTACACTGCAGAATAAGAATGACTTATATACAGTGGATTTTCATTTCCAAATTAGTAGACAATATTAAGCTGTAAGCCTTAGGATAAGAGTAGGACTTGTTTCACAGGTGATTTTAAAGAATCCCATTATAAATTGCTGAAAGGCAAACAAGTCATGGGCTCTTGTACAGTTATATAGTTCTTTGATTAAAACACATATTAATACATGAAGAAAGCTGGTGTTTATTGTTCTGAGAAAAGGTCTCACTCTATACAGACTAGCGCGTCTTTAACTTGCAATCAATCCCCTTGCTTGCCTCCCAAGTACTACAACTATAGGCACGTGCCACCTAAGCCTAGCTATATAGGTTACAAAGATCACTTTAGAAGAAAATGGAGTTGTCAGCAAAGAAAAAGGAAACAACTGCCCTGAATTCCTGAAATTAGCAGTACACCTTTCTCCTCCAATACTTAACTGTATTAGGTCTTTTCTACTTAATAATATCTTTTCAATAAAGTGAAATCTTGTAAGGGAAGAGACTGCATTGTCGTGTCCTCCCCCGCCCCACAAGACAGGGTCTCATTTTGTAGCATAGACTAGCCTCAATTACATGTAAGAGCTACCAGCCTGGATCTGGGACCACGTGCTTGTACCCACTGCTCTAGCACAGAGCTTTGTTTAACTTTTAAATAATTATGTCACTAACTAATGTCCATTAATACAGTTTACCTTTAAAAACTCCTGATGCAGAGCAGGAGTTGGCAAATATTTTTCTATAAAAGATAGGTGAGTGTTGAGTTGGCATTGTACAAAAATTAACAGCCATATTGGTCTAGAAATGTTGAACTTAATTTCTTTCCATTTGTACAGGGTTAACACACTGTATTAAATATGTAAGGTCTTTAAAAAAAAAAAAAAAAAAAAAAAAAAAAAAAAAAAAAAAAAAAGAAGGGATTTTGAGAGCCCATCCCTTGTGAAAGGATGCTCTCTTGACCTGGACACATGGGGAAGGGCCTAGGCCTGGCCCAGGATGATGTGGTAGACTTTGCAAGGCTGTCTTGAGGGCCTTACCCTGCCTGGGGAGTAGAGGGGGGATGGCTAGGGGCAGGTGGGATGTTGGGGGAGAGGGGAGGGTGAGGGAGAAGGGATTGACATCTGAAGCAAGCTTCTTCCTAATTTGAATAAAAAAAAAAAAGATCAGGTAATAAACAGACAGGTACTGTAGACTACGTAGACTTTGCATACTTTGACAACCACTGAAACGTGTTATAGCAGCACAAAAGTAGCCCCAAACAATATGCAAGTGGCTAACATATAGGAAGCAAACTGGATTTGGTCTTTGGGCTATTGCATGGTAATCCCTAATACATAAAATGAATTACAGTCTCTAAGTACAGTTTGGGGCTTACTGAGTATAGGAAAAAGAAATGTAACCCAGATCTAGTTTCTGTTGTTATCAGGAACACTGTCCAGTCTCAAGCAGTATCCAACTATTCCCCAAATATAGTAACTTACCTTGTATTTTTCTTTGGCGTTCTCTTTCCCGAGAAGTTTAAGAACTTTATCAGCTAACAGCATGCTCTGCTCATTTTGGAAGCCTTCTAATATACACACAGCAGTGACATCTGGAAATGATAACAGTGGATTTATGGAATTACCGTGAAGCAGCATCAAATAGGAACAACTAAACTACAAAAAGCCAAACTCAACTCAAAACTGTTCAATTTTCAAGAAAGGGTCAATATATTATTCCTCTGGGTTTTTTTCTCACCTGTGAAATGAATGGGCTTATCCTGTTTAATTTCTGATGGCTCTCAATGCTCTAGCACTCTGTAGAGAGCAAAGAAAACAAGGAATCCAGAATCTCCTTTTCACTAGTAAACAAGGCAAGTGAACACAGCAGATGCTCTCACATCATGCTATGCCTCCCAGGCTGCTATTAAACTTCTCCAAATAGTTAGCCCTCCTCCCTCGACTCCTAAGTAGCTTTTTAAATAGGTACTTTTAAAACACCTTTGAGTTACTCTGTCTCCAAAGCTACTTTGCTGCAGAACTCAAAATCTGCCTGAAAACACCACATTCAACTGGTTATGTCATAGCTCACAATAAAGTGGTCTGAAATGTGAAAGAAGCTGTTAATCCCTCTTACTCAAAGCATTCAGTCAGTAGCTGTTACTTCTCTTGCTAATTTCCACTTTTTACAAGTCCATACCCTAACTCTTCTGAACAAGTCAATACGACATTACATTCCTCTGCTAAGTTTAGCTAGCTCTAACACCATTCTTCATTACTCACTCCTTTTCTTTGATCTAAACTCCAACCAACCGCTTCTCTACCAATTGTTATCTGCTAGTAACTTCAAAGTCTAGTTCAAAACTTAGAATTCCCATTTTAAAAACAGCATTCTTTTAACCATCAAATGACATCACAAAACTTTTAAATTTTCTAACACAATCTAAAATAGCCTCATGCTTTTAAAGGACTCATTCCTTTAAAATGCAAAACAGAACAAAAAGGCATTTTAGTTTTGGCTCAGAGGCGGAAAGTATGCTTAGCATCTGTGAGTGAGATCCTGAGTTTTTATTCCCTAGTACCAACCCCAGAAAGTTATTAAAAGAGTAATTGTGGCTAAATTTTATTACTGATGCTTTGAAAGGACCTGTGAACATGTACTGAAAGTACTTTTAGACTGTAGAAAATACACTTTGGTTTAGCGTCACATCACTTACAAAAATGAACTTTAAAAGCCTGTGACCTGTACTTTAATTGCACTTTTGGAAGAAGACATGGCCAATTAAGAGGCAAAAGAACATTTATAACATTTTCCGAGAATGACACACATACTCTGCAATTGTGTAGAAAATAATGTTTGAAAATATGAAGGACAAAAAGCATTCTCCTTAATGATTCATCTCCAAGTTATCTCACATTTATACCAGAAAGTAGCTTAAACTATGTCAAAACTAACCTGCTAAAACTACTTTTCTGATTTCCTTAGTCAAAGAATTATTCAATGAGTCTTAATAGTCCTTAATAACTCCTCAGTTGAGGTTGGTGTGATGGAGCACACCTTTAATCTTAGCACCAGGGAGACAGAGGCAGAGGCAGGCGGATCTGTTTAATGTCAGCTGTTCTACATCGTGAGTCACAGGACAGCCAGGGTTATGTAGAGCCTGTCTCAAAATAACCAACAATAAAACAACCAACCAAACAAACAAAAAAATCTCCCAGTTGAGAACAGAATCTCAACTGGGAAATATTTCACACAGAGAGACAATCAGTTGACTTCTATACTCACAGGCAGTTTCATACACGCCTACTAACAACTATGAAGTGTCCAGTTATTTTCCTGTGAAAACACAAAAACACCCTCACCTTCCAAACATTCCTTCTTATTGTCCAGCTTCTCATGGGCTTTTGCACGTCTAAAGAGAGCTTTCACATATTTGGGATTAAGTTCAACAGCCTTTGTACAATCCTGTGCCACCTCTTTCCACTTTTGCTGTAATTGGAAGCATGAAAAGGAAAAAAAATTACACTGAAAACAATACTGTTCAACAGAATTGAATTTTCCAAACCTAAAAGGCCAAGTGTTGAGTTTCTCAAAAAACATATTCAGGAACACGAACGCACTCAATAAATAAAGACACTACACTACACCTCTACAAACAGGCAATGAAGACATTTAGGGTTTCTACTGTAGACCCACCTGCGGCTGTGTTTGCACAGCACGTTTTCACTCCTGCTAAGATGAGAAGAACACTCCCCTTTCTCACTGGGGATGGGAATCCACACCTTCCCATGCCGATACCTATACTTTCAGTTATTCCGTCTTGGCAAAAATCCACCTATCTTCTGAACCATCCCATGACATGGACACATGCCCAGATTGTGTTATTTTTTACAGTTATTACCCCACTTATCAGCTATTTGTCGTCAGTCCACCTTGCCACTTTGACTTGCTATCTTTTACATTACAGGCTGTTCCCTCTCAATTTGGCTGAACTCCTTCCTTCGACTTGACTGTTACATGCTGCAATCTTCAAGAACTCACCTCTCCCTTCTCCTCAGGTGATCGTCTGACATTATTTAACATTTAAAATCAGGTGATTCACAGAGTTATCTCAAGCTAGGCTCCCCTGCTAAATTACAGATGTGTGTTAGACTACCTACTTAACTGTCTCACTTCTCCTCCACCCTGGGGACATTAAATTCTTGTTTGTCTTCACTTTTCACATCCAATGCAACCGCACATTTTGCTGGTCTTCAGCTTTCCTTTACATGCTGTGTAGGCTACTCCAAAAACACGCCATCACCCTTTCTGATTCCAATATATTCTTCACAGAAAAGTGGGAAAAATCTTTGATGATATTCCTCCCTGCTAAAATTAAAATCCTTTAAATACTTCCACTGTACTCAGAGTCAACTGCAAATTCACTTTGTTTCATTTATTCATCATTTTCTTCAGCCAAGGTCTTGGTATGTAACCCATACTGGCTATCAACTCATGGTCCTCTCCCTCTTAAGTGCTGAGAACACAAGAATATGGCATTACACTTAGCTCAAATTTAAACTTAGCACCTACAGGCTTTTCCTGACTTTGTCCCTGCTTACTTCCACTTTCATTTATTGTACTCAGACTTTTACACTTTTTTAAACACCAAATGCTCATCTCAGAGCAATTACACATCTTGGTTCCTCTATTCCTCTATTAACACCCTCTTCTCCACTATTTTAATGCATCAATCCTCTATAAAAGCATACAATAATACTACATAGTCTTTAATAAGAATGACAGATTTGGCTATGTGGATATAAAAACAGTACAACACATGACAACAACAACAAAAAACATGCCGCAGTTTGTGTAAAAGGAACTCATCTTTTTTTCTTTTTGCATATGATAAAGAGACAGAAAAATGAACAAATAGTCTCAAAAACTGACGAGGAGGGCAGAATCACTATGAAAACTTTAACCTTCTAAATTATCTGATTTTATTAAAAATTAAAGATTTATAGAGTTTTGGTGTACAGCTTTGGCTAGCAAAACTGAAATGAAAAATTCTTCTAACTTCAAATCAACTTCAGATGAAAAAAAACTGAGGAAACAACACTGGAGTACATACCAACTGTTCAAAGGCAGCAGCTCTGTTCTGATAAAATGTAGAAAGGTCTACATTCTTCTCAGTAGGACACAAACTAATAGCCTCGGTATAGCATTGAATAGCTTGTTCATATTTTCCTGCTTTGAAATATTTGTTGCCTTTATTTTTGGCTGCTTGGGCTCTATCCAGAGAATTCTGAAATGAGAGAAAACAATTATTAAGAACTGACATTCGTGAGTAAATTCAGACCATAGTGATTAAACAAGCTGATGAAAAAAGATGGGAAGATAGGATGGCTGTTTACAGTTTAGAACCACCCAGACTCCCCCTGCAAAAGACTGACAAGTCTCCCAACATCACAATCGACACCTTTAATGTTTGCCAACCAAATGGCTGTAAGGACATGTTTCTCAGCCAAGGTAATTTAAACCCCTTGTTTTGGAAAAATCTAATCCCAATGTAGAAAGCACAAACCAGTAATCCCAGCACTAGAAAGTCCTAGGCAAGAGTTCAAGAGTTAAACAGCAAGACCCTATTCAAAAGCAGAGAGCAACAACTAAATAAAAGAGGCCAACAGATCCTTAACTTCATATTTTAGGCAGCAGCAAGAAGGTTCCTTACACCAAGGCATAAGGGTTAGACAAAGGCAGGCTCACACCAACAGGAGAGTACCTGGCCTCTCTCAAAGTTATTAGTATGTCTACTATCAGTTAAGACACTGTCAAGGAAACTCTCTGGCAGGCAAAGAGTAGTAATGACAAAGATGACAGGCTCATGTCAATCTGATTCCTCATAACCCCCAGAGGATTTTGAAAATGGCTAGAAACATATGTACTACTTCTTACTATCTACTATACACACAAATATAACCTAGACAGTTTAAGCTGAACAGTGCTAAATATATGCATTTATAAAGCCAAGATGTTGGATAAAAGGAACCAAGAACACAAATCAAAAGATAAATGAACAATCTTCCATTTGTCAACAGATTTATTCATCTTCTAAATCTTTCCAATACAAGTCAAATAGCAACCACGAAACATATTTCAATAATAAACGGGTTACAAGAATGTCCCACCTGCAGCCAAGGCTTCATGTGTCCTAGGCTAGCTATGAAGACAGCCAAGCACAAAATTATATGTAAACTTATTCAAAACTTTATGACATTTTGGGGGTGGAGGGTTACATCCATGGGTCTATGAAAATATGCTGGAATCAACAAAAAAAGACAAATGAACCATACATTGTAGTGCATGCCTTTAATCCCAACACTTGGGAGGTAGAGGCAGGTGAATCTCTGAGTTCAAAGCCAACCTGGTCTACAAAGTTGAGTCCCAAGACAGACAGACAGGAAAACCCTGTTTGGGGAACAAAAAAAAAAAAAAAAAAAAAAAAAAAAAAAAAAAAAAGGAAGGAAGGAAGGAAGAGAAAAGGGCAAATGAGAACCTCTGTGTGGCATTAGGAAGACAACCATTAGGGTAAAAGTTGGACAGCTTACATTTAGGATAATCCCATTAATCGCCTTTCTCAACTGGAAAAAAAAAAAAACAAAACACAAGTCATACATACTGCAATAGGACTGTGTCATCCAAAGGAAGGATGGTTCTTTTTCCAAGAAAACACACAAAGAGGAATTGCTAGCACTGAAAGAAAGCCAATGCACACAAGAGAGGCACCTAACTGAAACAGAAAACTTCTATCTGATAAAGAAACTGAGTAGCAAGACAAGGTAGTGGGGAGAAGCTGCTGGAGCTCAAACTCAGGACCTCCAAAATGCAAAGCACAAGCTCCACCACCTAAGTATAAAATGCTTAGAATCCGCAGCCAGACTTCTTAAAAAACAACAAAAGAATTAATATAGGAGCTCGATTTCTTCCCTCCCTCACTGCAGCGCATCACTGGCGTGCCCCACCATGTCAGATGCGGCCGTGGACACCAGCTCCGAGATCACCACCAAGGACTTGAAGGAGAAAAAGGAAGTTGTGAAGGAGGCAGAGAATGGAAGAGACGCACCTGCCAATGCTAATGAGGAAAATGGGGAGCAGGAGGCTGACAATGAGGAAGATGAAGAAGAGGAAGAAGGTGGGGAGGAAGAGGAGGAGGAGGAGGAGGAGGAAGGCGATGGTGAGGAAGAAGATGGAGATGAAGATGAGGAAGTGAGGCTCCTATGGGCAAGCAGGTAACTGAAGATGATGTGGATGATGTTGACACCAAGAAGCAGAAGACCGATGAGGATGACTAGACAGCAGAAAGGAAAAGCTAAACTTAAGGCCACCGTGACTTATTCACCCTCCACTTCCCGTCTCAGAATTTAAACGTGGTCACCTTTGAGTAGAGGAACAGGCCTGCCCTTAGCGGGCAGTGCCACCCACAGATGACATGTCCTCTCCACCACCCCACCAAAACCACACCATGAATTTGCAACAGGGGAGGGAAAAAGAACCAAAACTTCCAAGGCCCTGCTTTTTTTCTTAAAAACACTTTAAAAGGAAAATTTGTATTTTTATTTACATTTTATATTTTTGTACATATTGTTATTGGGTCAGCCATTTTTAATGATAAGGGGTGACCAAACCAGCCTTCAGAGTGTTCTCTGTCCTACTTCTAACCTTACTTGTGGTGTGACCATGTTCATTATAATCCCAAAGGAGAAAAAAAAAAAAAAAAAAAACCTTGTTTAAAAACAACAACAACAAAAAATCTTATTCAGAGCATTCCAGTAACTTTTTGTGTGTGTGTGTATGTACCTAGCTGTACTATAAGTAGTTGGTTTGTATGAGATCATTAAAAAGGCCAAAGATAAAAGGTTTCTTTTTTCCCTTCCTTTTTTTTTTTTTTGTCTATGAAGTTGCTGTTTTATTTTTTTGGCCTGTTTGATGTATGTCTGAAACAATGTCCAACAATAAACCGGAATTTTATTTTGCTGAGTTGTTCTAACAAAAAAAAAGAATTAATATAATTAATACAGAGGCTATATTACAACAAGCACAGTTGAGGAACAAATTAAGTACAAGTTGGGATCAAGGAAACTTCCAAAATGCAATGAAAACAGAGGATAGGGGTGAGATGTTTGAAGAAAATAATTAAGTTCCAACATCTATCCAGCAGGTTACAGAAGGAAAGACATAGTTAAAGAGGGCATAAAAAAAAATCAAAAAAACATTACACACTTTTAAAATACATTATGCTCGATTTTATAGCAAAATTCCCAAAGAAAAGAAAGTCAGACTAACTACAAAAGAAAAAGAACAAACTCAGGTACAAACTGCCAACAGGTCTTGACAAATAATTAACCATCACTAAGCTCTGAAGCAAGAATCTCAACTTAAAATTCTGTAATTTGACAAACTAGTGCTTGAAATTAAGCACAACACAGACATATACAAGTTTTAGTACTAAAATCAACACAGAGCAGATGAATGACCAATGTATTGAAAACAGAAAGAATGACACAAGAACAAAATATGGCAATAATCATTAATTACACTCATCAGTAACAACTGTGAATAGGTGAGACTTTGATTAAAAGATTTTCAAGTTGTTCAAGTACAACTAATCGCTGCCTAAGCAGATACGTCTTAGAGCAAAATGACACAGAAACATTTAAGGGAAAAATAAACATTATAAAAGGCACACATAACACAAAAGGCAATATCCAAGGACCATCTTAACTGCTGAGCCATCTCTCCAGCCCCTTGTTCCAATTTCTTCCAAGACCACTCTTTTTCTTTTTTTGAGACAGGGTTTCTCTGTGGCTTTGGAAGCTGTTCTGAACTAGCTCTTGTAGACCACGCTGGTCTCGAACTCACCAAGATCCACCTGCCTCTGCCTCCCGAGTGCTGGGATTAAAGGCATGCGCCGCCACCACCACCACCCGGCTCCAAGGACCACTCTTAAAAGCTACAGATAGACCACAACATAGTTCTATTGATTAAGGTCAATCTGCTCAATGTATAATTATTCATCTTTTTGCTTAATAAAACTTTAAAATAAACAAGTCTGACTGCCTTCGATAGTATGTAAAAGCAAAAGAAAAACATTATTTTGTTTAGCACAGTAAATTTCCATTGTTTCTGAGTCACCAAAAGCCTGCCCACTACCCTAAAACATTTATGTAGAAAATAATGTGGCATAACCACCAACATATTTCAGTTATTCCATTGTTTTAACTACTCACCAGCTACTTATTTTTTAATTTTTATTTATTTTTATGCATATGGTGTGTTGCATGCATAAATGTCCATGCACCACATAAGGCCAAAAAAAAAAAAATCAGATCTTCTAGAACTGCAATATATGTGATGATTAGTCACTGTATAGATGCCGGGAATCGAACACAGGTCCTCTTACAAGAGCAACAAGTATTCTTTACCCCTGAGCCATCTCTCCATCCCCTCAATTAAGTTTTATAACAACTTCCTTTTAAAATTATCCTGATTTCATAAGTCTACTTAACTTCCTTATTTAAATACTGAAAATAAATGGTGGTCTGAAGACAGCTGAAAATAATCCAATGACAAAGACACAGCTCCTCCGTTATGCCTCCCCTATTTCACCACTGTGGAGAACCACTTAACTACAATGTACCACAATGTTCACCACCACGCCTCACCTTCTGATTCTCTGGACTCCCATTATTTTCTGGCCCATAGCTTCTCTGATAGAAATGCAGAGGAAAAAATGGCAACACAACAAGGATAGTAATGAGAAGAGACCTTTTTGCACATTATGGTCTTTGTCACAAAAAGCTGGTTATCGGCAAACACTAGCCTTCTGCTATACCCAAAGTTAGGCTTTTCAGGCAAAAATTAAATGTATCGAGGGAAAAGAAGACCATGACAGACTTTTTTTTTTTAATAAAGGGTTTTAATTCCACCCCACAGAAATAGTTTTATACTTCTTTTCAAAGGTCTACCCATCAAGTTATAAGTATCTTTAGAATTAAAAGCAAAAGTTAGGGGGAAAACACCTCAAAACAATTCCGAAAGTATATTTTCACAAATGATGCCTGAAGACAAGAAGATATCAAACATAATGGGAACATCATGAAAAGCTAGTTCGATCTTTTCATGTAGTCTACTAGTCTTTTCAAGAGCTACCAAAGTTATTAAAAGAAATCATAACGTCATTTAACATTACTGGAAGCAACCTGATTTGGTAATCTTTTTAGAGTGCTATAAATTTTATAATTAAATTTTATGAAAAGTTCTTCCTCTGAGTCTTTTATCACAATTAGTTTTATAACA